GACGCCTCAAGAAGTCGAATTAAAGAGTCACATTTATTGCAATCCGGGACTCCGAGGGGGCATTTCGCTCTCCCAAATCTCACAGTGATAAGATGGCCGCAGCACCAGACTTATAGGCAGAGATCACAAAGGTATTGATTACATCCCAGGGTTGGGAATGAGGACCCTGGTTGCACAAAGCAGTTATAGAAGCGATATTGAGCCAATTAGTTATCTACAAAGATTAATTATAGTTTTGGGTCTTTGGACCACTGAGTTGACAGAAACACATTATCTAGAGCCCTCGGGTCTTGGGGCCACTGAGTTGACAGGGAAACATTATCTGGAACCCTCAGGTCTTGGGATAATTGTGCTGTCCTGGTTCCCAGGTACAGAGGAATGTGCTTTCTAAAACCAGTAAGATCACAACCAATGAGATAGTCACATTACAATCAATAAGGCATTCAATCGAATGGGATGATTTACAAAATTCAGAAAATCAAAATAACTTTTCTATTGTTAAGCCAAACAGCAGGGTTAGAGTGAAACTACAGTTTCTACCTGAGATGGCTGCTACCACACTTCAAAGGCTCCCGGCAGCCTGCAGAACAGCAAGGCGGCCAGAGGGGCTGAGGCGAGTGAACGTTACACATGTGCATACGTGTCTGTGGATAGAGAGAGGGAGAGAGAGGAGGACGCCAACATGGTGAAGCGCTAGCATTTGGAGAACTTGAGCAAAGGGTACGAAGGGATTCTTTGTACAATTTCTGCAACTTCCCCAAGTAAGCCTGAAATGATGTCAAACTAAAAAGTTAAAAGGAAAGCAGGGTGTTATAAGGAAAGTGGGAAAAGACAAGACCAAATTAGGAGAAAATATTGTGAGACATAAGCCACAAAGGGTTACTGTCTAGAACAGCGGTTCTAACCTGTGGGTCGAGACCCCTTTGGGGGTCAAACAACCCTTTCACTGGGGTCGCCTAAGACCATCGGGAAACACATAACTACATATTTATGTAATTTTTGTGATTAATCACTATGCTTTAATGTTTTTGTGATTAATCACTATGCTTTCATTATGTTCAATTTGTAACAATGAAAATACATCCTGCATATCAGATATTTACATGACGATTCATAACAGTAGCAACATTACAGTTATGAAGTAGCAACGAAAATAATTTTGTGGTTGGGGGTCACCACAACATGAGGAACTGTATGAAAGGGTCGCGGCATTAGGAAGGTTGAGAACCACTGGTCTAGAATATGCAAAGAACTCCAATGAGTTCTCAAGACAAACAACCCAGTAGAAAAATGGGCACATGTCTTGTATGGGAACAACCAAACACCTACAGGAAGATGTTCAACCTCACCACGCAGAGGGAAACGCAAGCCCAAACCACGACTAGTCCACTTGATACTCATCCGACCAATGAGTGCACGGCACTCAAAGATAGCGATGGTGCCCGGCCGGCCTGGCTCAGGGGTTGGGGGTCGACCCAAGAACCAAGCGATCACGGGTGTGATTCCTGGTCAGGGCACATGCCCGGGTGTGGGCTCGCTCCCCAGCAGGGGGCGTGCATATGGTGGCCTATCCATGTTTCTCTCTATTCCTCTCCCTCCCTCTCTCTCTCAAATCAATAAAAACATCTATAATAATAAAAGCGTAATATGCTAATTAGACCATACATCCTTCCGGATGACCTTCCGGACAAAGCGGGGGGCTGCGAGGGAAGCCTGGGCCCCCGGTGCTGGAGGGAGGCCTGTGCAGGCAGCCAGGGAAGGCAGGCCTCTAGTATTTAAATAATAATGAAGAAACCCACACCCTCCCCAGTTCTTGGACGTCACTTGGCCAGCAGATGGCACCAGGGCCACCACCTGGGGCACCATTGGCTGCACAAAGGCCCCATGGACTTGAAATAAGGTGGTTTTGTTCAGAACCAGGTTTAATTCTCAGGCGAGGGGCACGCCTGCACCCGGGTCTGTGAAGGGAAGCAAGCAATGGAGGGTTTCTCCCTCTCCTGCCAGGGACAGACCCCGGGTTCCAGCTGCTGGACGGGAGGGCCCGGGCTGATGGGCCTCAGGGTGCCCCGGGAACCCCCCCCCCCCAGACATCCTCAGCCTGGACTCCGCAGTGAGGGCTGGAGAGGGTCGGCCCGGGGGTTACCACACCTGCGGGGTCAGGGCTGGGCTCCATGTGGACTCTCAGAGGCCAGGCGTCCCTGGTAGTGGGGCAACTTGTGTCCACACGGCTGGTTTCGAAGCATCAGGTGTGTGTCCCCACGGGCAGTGGTGCCACAGCCCCTTTCTCCACCGACTTGGGCAAGGGCTGAGGCCTGGGTCTCTGCCCGCCCTGACCACGCGTTAGAGCCAGAGGGACGCGGAGGCCCAGCCAGGGCGGAGCCTTGCCCAAGGGCCGCCGGCCCTGGTGAAAGCTCTGCTTCCCCACGCTCTCACGGAGGCGCCGAAGCCACGGGGCCTGGGGAGGTGCTGCTGGCTCAGTGAGCCCTGTGGCAGCCACGCTCACCTGAAGGGGGGCTCTCGCCTCCTGCCGGGGGAGCCCCCGTGTCCACTTCCTGCTCCCTGCACCCTCCAACGCCCTCCAGAGCCTCACCTGCCCCCTGCCCCAAACTCATCCCCAGGTGGTCACATGCAGGGCGGGGCTTGGAGAAACCTCCTGCTGGACGCGGGAATCCTGCCCTCGCCCTCCCAGGCTCCAGGCTCCCTCCCAGCAGACTCCGCTCAGCAGATGGGGGCCAGCCAGCCCACAGCCCCGGGGAGGGCAGAGCAGTGGGGGCGCCACCCTGGGCTGGTAGCCCAGCACCTCCCAGCACCTTCCCTTACCAGCTCTGCGCCTGGGCTGTTCTTTTCTTTTTTTAAATATATTTTTATTGATTTCAGAGAGGAAGGGAGAGGGGGGAGAGAGAGACATCGATAATGAGAAAGAATAATTGGCTGCCTCCTGCACGCCCTCTACAAGGGATCAAGCCCACAACCCAGGCAAGTGCCCTGACCAGGAATCGAACCTGGTACCCTTCAGTCTGCAGGCCAACGCTCTATCCACTGAGCCAAACTGGCTAGGGCTGGGTGAGGTTTTTTAAAAGATTTATTCTAGGTGTACCAGTTAATAATGCGGATTTTTTTCCAATAGATGGAGTTACACATATGTTGATACATATGCGATTTGATATGTGTGCTATTTTGCTGTATTGACAGCAAGCTTCAAAACTTCATATGTCAAATTTGCTGAAGGTGTTCACATCATAGATATTTTTACACTTAAAAATGTCGAATTTCGTGCCAAAAAAAAAGAGCATTTGCGGGAAGTTTAAATTCATTATTTTGAAGAAAATTGCTGCTGAAAGTGATCGTATACTTCGGGAAGCTTATGGTGAACATGCTCCGTCTCGAGATCCTTGTGAACGCTGGTTTAAACGCTTTCAAAGGGATGATTTCGATGTGAAAGACAACATCCAGGTCAACCAAAAAAGTTTGAAGCCCAACAATGACAAGCATTATTGGGTGAAGATGCGTGTCAAACTCAGAAACAACCTGCAGAAAGATGGAACGTTGCTCAGCAAACAATTTCCGATCATTTACAAGCAATGGGAACGATTTTAAAGGAAGGAAAGTGGGTGCCTCATCAACTAAACAAAAGACAAATGGAAAACGGAAAAGTCATCAGTAAAATGTTGCTTCAATAGCACGAAAGAAAGTCTTTTTTGCATCGAATTGTGACTGGCGATGAAAAGTGGATTTATTTTGAGAATCCCAAACGCACAGAATCATGGGTTGATCCAGGTCAACCATCAACAGCGACTGCAAGGCCAAATAGCTTCGGAAAGAAGACAATGCTCTGTGTTTGGTGGGATCAGGAAGGTGTGGTGTATTATGAGCTTCTAAAACCAGGTGAAACCGTTAATACTGATCGCCACCGATAACAAATAATCAATTTGAACCACGCTTTGATCATAAAACCACCAGAATGGGCCAGAAGACACAGCAAAGTAATTTTGCTTCATGATGACCCACCATCACACACTTCGAAAGCAGTTAAAGACACGTTAAAAGATCTTGCCTGGGAAGTATGAACCCACCTGCCGGATTCGCCAGACCTTGCGCCTTCAGATGACCACTTGTCCGATCGACGGCACACGCACGTTCTGAGCAGCACTTAAAATATACGAAGAAATGGAAAATGGGGTCTCTGAATGGTTTGCCTCAAAACAAGAAAAGTTCTATTGGGACGGTCTCCACAAATTACCTGAAAGATGGGGGGATGTGTAGCTAGCGATGGACATTACGTTGAATAAAGCACTTCTGATGTTTCTCTTGAAATTATCGTGTTTTCTTTGATTACAAAATTTGCATTATAACCGATTAATAGGCAATCCGCATTATTAACTGGTAGAGGGTCAATCCGCATTACTAACCGGTTAATAGTCAATCCGCATTACTAACCGGTTGACAGTCAATCCGCATTACTAACCGGTACACCTAGGAAATGGACATCAAGCACAAGAAAAAGGACACTGCCCATCCCAGCAGCTAGGAAGCCGTACCCCGCCTCCCAGCCTTGTCCAGGGAGCGGCCAGGAGGCGACAGTGAGGGTCTCCCTGGGGAGGCCGCCGCCGTCACAGCCGCAGGGAGGAGGAGCCAGGGGTGAGCAGATCTGGCTTTTTCAGAGTCAGGCACAGGTTTCTGAAGGCTGACACCAGCTTGTAAAATGTCTGTCACATCGTGGATGGCAGCCTGGCCCAGCCGCAGAGGGGCCGCCTCTGTGCCCGTGGCCGAGGGGCTGCCGCACACAGACTCCGTGTTCTGGAAGGTTCTTTGGGGTCAAACCAGAACCGCCAGGCAGAGACGGCACAGGGTCCTGCCGCCGGAGCCGGCCTCCTGGTGGCACAGGTGGGGACACAGAGGCCCAGAGGGAAGGGACTTGCCCCAGATCAGCCAGGTCTCCTGCCCCCGGCTCAGGGCTCTCACCCACTCGGAGGCCCTGAGCCGTTGCCCAAACCGGCTTGCTTCTTGGCCAATGGCATTTCAGAACATTGGCCAACAGTGGTGTCTGGCAAAGGAAGGGAGAGGCCCTCATGTCACCAGCAGCCCTTGCACAAGGCCGCCCAAGGAGCGCCTAAAAGGGCCGGCAAGTGGCCGTGGGCCAGAGAAGGGACATGGCAGGGGCCTGGAGGGCACTCGTGCTGGTGGCGGGCTTGGCGGCGATGGCCTGTGAGGCCCAACACCGGCGGCTCCCCCCGGAGAGGATTGCCACTCAGGCCTTGCATTTCTTCAACGCCGGGAGGCAAGGCCAGCCCCTGTTTGGCCTGTTGGAAGTCCTCCCAACAGTCAGATCGGTGAGCGTCCGCAGCAGCCCGAGAGGGCGCAGGTGGGAGAGGCGGCCTGGCACGGCCCCACGTGCCGGTTAACATGAGCTGTGGTTAACGTGGGGCTGCTTCTCCCCTCGAGGGGAAGAAAGGTGGTCATCTCTGGCCGGACAGCGGGCCTGCTGGGAGGTTGGGGGTCCGGCCCGGCCGGAAGGACTGCACAGACAGGAAAAGGCCTGGTCTCCCCTTCCCGCCCCACGGCCTCTCCTGGCAGGGAGCTGAGCGTGCAGGGCTGGTGTTCTTGTTTTTATTGTTTAAAGTATTACATACAGTATTTCATATGTCTCCTTCCCCCCATCGTCACCCCCCGCCACCCCCACCCCCCAAGGCTGGTATTCTTTTTGTTGTTTGTTTATCCTCACCTGAGGATAGTTTTCCCACTGCTTTTTCAGGGAGAGTGGAAGGGGGGGGGGGGTGGAGAGAAGGAGGGAGGGAGGGAGGGAAACATGGATGCGAGAGAGCCACATCGACTGGTTGCATTCTGCACTCTCTAACCACTGAGCCACCGCCAAGGCACGGCTGCTATCTTGTTCCTGGTCACAGCAGACGGCCCACGGCTCTGAAGTGGCTCCTGCGGCCAGTCTCCGAGAGCTCCCCGCACCTCCGCGGCCTGAGAGGCCCTGGCCGTGGTGGGAGGCCCGGGCCTGGGCTCAGCCCTTCCTCCGGGCTGCGCTGACCGCTCGGTGCCTCGGCTCCGTCCGCTGAGGGACTCACCAGGAGCTGCTCTTGCTTCTGCAGAACTCCACCTTAAGGACGCTGGTCAGGTTCAGGATCAAGGAGACGGTGTGCCTCTCAGGGCGGCGGCAGCAGCCAGAGCCCCAGCAGTGCGCCTTCAGGGACGGCGGGGTGAGTCCCCCAATCCAGCAGGAGCAGGGGGTCCTCTCCTCTCCACTGGCCTGGGGGGGAGGGGGGCTCTGTTCGTCTCTGCCCATTTCCCCCGGCCACGCCAGGTTTCACTGTAGCAGCCTTTTTAGAAATGTTTTCCCTACTGCTTTGTGTTTTCTTACTATAAATTAGTCCTTATTATAAAAGCAAAACATGCTAAAAATGACTAAATAGTCCTGGCCGGTTTGGCTCAGTGGATAGAGCGTGGGCCTGCGGACTGAAGGGTCCCGGGTTCAATTCCGGTCAAGGGCACAAGCCCGGGTTGTGGGCTCGATCCCCAGTGGGAGGCGAACAGGAGGCAGCCGATCCATGATTCTCTCTCATCAGTGATGTTTCTATCTCTCTCCTTTCCTCTCTGAAATCAATAGAAATATATATATATATTTTTAATATATTTTATTGATTTTTTACAGAGAGGAGGGGAAAGGGATAGAGTTAGAAACATTGATCAGCTGCCTCCTGCACAACCCCCACTGGGGATGTGCCCGCAACCAAGGTACATGCCCTTGTCCGGAATCGAACCTGGGACCCTTGAGTCCGCAGGCTGATGCTCTATCCGCTGAGCCAAACCGGTTTCCGCAGAAATATATTTTTTAAAAAAATGACTAAATGGAAAAAGAATAAAGTGGGACCATAATGTACCTAAGGTATGAAATTAGAAAAATAACATTTTCTGATGGCAAATTAACAAACTGTGGAGAAGCAAAATAAAATGAGGTCAGGATCTCCCACAACCCCACCCCCCAGGGTCCGACAGCCCCGTGGGCGGCCCCCTTCGTGCCCCCACACATTTCAGGGGGCTCATTCGAGGGCGGCATCCCTGAGTCACCGACGAGCACGCCCTTCACCTGGGGGGGGGGTGTCTAGTCCGGGGGGGCCCTGGGTCATCCTCAGCTGCAGCTCTGGTTTGGGAGGATGAGCACACGGCGGTGGGCTGTGGGGTGGGTGCCTTGGGCCCGGATCCGCCTCCAGCCCCTGTGCTGGCTGCCCCGCAGGAGGAGCGGAACTGCACGAGCACCTGGGACGTCTGGGCCGTCAGAGCATCCTGTTGGTCGACTGCAGCCCAGGCCCCGAGCGCCAGCAAGAGGTGAGCCACTGGCTTGGGCACAGGAGGGCCTCAGTTTCCTCGACTGGAGAATGGGTTGATCACGACCAAGCCGTCCTCCATGCCGGTTCTCGAGGGATTCTGAGGATGGTGGGTCATTTGGCACAAGGGGAGGGGCGAGGCCGGTGGGTGGGGCCGGGGGTGCTGAGAGCCGCACCTGCCTCCTGGGCAGGACGCTGGCTCTTGGGAACCGACCCTCCTCTCCAGCCCACACTTGGGGGGAAGACACCACGGAGGTGCAGCCTCCTGGCCGGTGAGTGGAGAGCGAGGGTGGAAGCGAGTCCCGAGGCCCAGGCCTGCCCGGGCCCTCTGGGCGCACCTCCAGCCCCATCACCAACGGCTGCCTGGGCCGCAGCCTCTTCATCGGCCTGGGGAGGAGCCCAGGCAGGACGGGAAGGGGCGACAGTCCGTGAGGGCGGTGAGCGTGACCACAGCGTCCCTTCTGCAGGACTCGCGGGAGCAGCCGACGGCTCCGGCTCCACCCCCCGAAGAAGCCGCTTCAGACATCGACCGCTCCAAGCTGCCCCCCGCGGTCAGGGACTTGTATGACAACGCCAGGAACAACATCATCAACAACATCCTGAGGAATTTCTAGGGCCGGGAAGGAGGGGAGGCCCGCATCCCAGCCATGACCTCCCCTCCCACCGCCCACTCCCTCGGCGGCCTCAGCACCCCCTTTGCTGAATAGTCCCCCACACGCCTCTGCTTCCGCACACCTGCTGCCCTCCGCTCGAACGCCAGCCCGTCCTGTGTCTAACTCCTACTCACCCTTCAAGGCTCAGCTCCAAGGCCACCTCCTCCAGGAAGCCCTGGGCTTGCCCCCAGCAGGTGTCCTTCCCTCCTCAGAGCCGGCGTGACCTGCTGTGCCCGGCCGGACGCACCCTGTGTGCGCACAGCTGTGCCCGCCGGCGCCGGCGACGGGGTAGGGGGATGGGTTTCTCGACCAGGTGCTCCTGGGAGGACAGTCCTTCTGCAGGACCCGGCACCCCCGCCCCCGCCCAGGCCCTTCACATCCGCAGGCGTTGCCACGGGGGGCGGGGGGGTCAGCCCATCCTCAGGGGAGAGGCTCAATAAAGCATTTCTGACAGAGACCGAGTGCCCGTGTGAATGAATGAAGTGTCAGCTGGGCCAACTGGACTCGGGGCGAGGAGACCCGTGAGGCAGGCCCCGGGGCGGTTCCACTGCATCAAGGTCCTTGGGGTCGGGACAGGGACATGGAGAGCACACGGGATGCGGGCGGAGGGGGCGTGAGGGCCCTGGGGGCCCAGGGAGGCAGTCATCGGCCGCCTTTAGTTCCTTTATGCCTCCCCCTCATCAGAGCTCCAGGCAGCACCTCTTCCCGACCCCGACTTTATGTATCAGACGCCTCCTGGGCCCCCCTGCAACGTCCAAAGGGTGTCACACACTCAGCAGCTTCCCTCCGTCCATCCCAGGGCAACCGCCTCACCCCGGCCCTGACTGGCGCCCCCGGCCCCGACTGGCGTCCTCGGCCCCGACTGGCGCCCCCCGGCTCCGACTGGCACCCCCGGCTCCGACTGGCGTCCTCGGCTCGGCTCTCACCAGCCTCGGTCCCGGCTTGGTCCTGGCCACCGAGGCACCTGAGCTCCTTAAGGAGAAAACCTCTCAGGAAACGGGGTGTGGAGCCCGGAGACGCCAGCAGAGCGCCCCGTTCCCTTGCACCTCCTGGGGGTGTGATGTTCGCTATCCGAGCGGCAGCCAAAGCGGCGTGTGCGCCGCGGGGGGGAGGAGTGGGCTCCGTGCCAGCGAGGGTGGGGGCCAGAGCCCGGCAAGAAGGGAGCCGAAGCGCAGCAGCCGCTCCCGCGATGGGGTGTCGCTCACCGGGAAAGGGCGTCCCTGCCTGCGGGGCCGTGACCTCCCCCCACAGCTCGGAGCCTGAGGAGGATCTGCTGTCTTCTTGTCCCCTCGCTGCCAAAGCCCACGCCAGGCCCGGGCCCCAGACCACGCACGGTGCGGGCGGGACTGTCCCCTCAGATTTTTCAACTGTAATGTCAAGAGGAGCGGTGACCTGGACAGGAGCACGCAGGCCACACGCCGGTCGTCTTCCGCACGTTCTGCACAGAACCCATTCGTATAAAATGCACCCGTCTTTCCAAAGATGCTTTTGCTGTATCTGGCTGTTCCCTTGTTTTCACAGCATATTTTTACTTTGTTCTGTGTTCTTCAATGAATCACAATAAAAATATGACTTCCTTCTAATAGTATTTTAAAAATGAATCAGGAAAGGGCAAGACGATAGAAGTGTGCTCTTTATTTCTCTTTGGTTTCTTAACACATGCGCTCCATAAATAAAAGGAAGTGAGATTTTCTGGGAAACAGTCAATTGGGGGGCGGGCGGAGGAGAATCTCTCCCTGCTCCCATCTTTGTGGCCACGTCAGAGGCTGGTCTCCAGCTCCCATCTCGGCTTTGATCGCAGGTCAAACACGTGCTTTAAGGGGAAATGCCCAGGACACAGGTCATAGCCCTCTGCTCCGGGCTGGGCGAGACCCAAGGCCCCGAGCACAGCTGTCCGGCCTGGAAACCCCTTGCACGTCTCCGGGGTGATGAGAAGGCGCCGGCACCAAAGGGCAGACCAGCTGCTGGCAAACATCCCCCTCGGACTGAGGGGCTCAGAGTGTAAAACTGTCGGTGTGTGTGCACCTGCGCTGAGCCGGGTCCAGGCCTGGCTCCCTCTCCTGGGAAGCGCTCTGTCAGCAGTGCAATGTCGCCGGGGAGGCGGAGGGACGGGAGGCGGGAGGGACGCGGGAAGGCCCTACCAGGGCAGCAGGTCTCGGGAAATGAGCCACCCCCAGTGGCAGCCTCGTAAGGACCGGCCAGGCCCCCTCCTTGGCCCACTGACCGATTCTTAGCGCCGTCACCAGCAGGCTTGTCAGTGCTACTTCAAGTTCACAGAAGGGGCTGATGAGAATCAGACGGGCACCACACACCGCTCTCCACCAGGAAAGCGGACCCACCTCCCCGGCCACCTCAGGGCCGATGAGAGGGTGGGGAAGGTCAGAGCTGCTGCAGGGTCAGCTCAGCCGTATCGATTGTTGTCGTTAAAAAATCATGTTCAAGTGCTTGTCCTAGAGGCCCAGCGCCCAAGTGGCAGGCACAGGGTATTCCCTCCGGACACCTGGCGACTGCTCACCCGGCGAACCTCGCGGCCTCGGGCGGAAGACGACTCCGGCCCCACACTGCTCCCCGCCAGGCTCCCAGCCTCCGGGGCAGGCACCAGCGGACAGGAGGCCCGTCCTGCACTAAATACTGGCAGCAGGCAGAACACCAGCTCTGGCAGCAGCAGCTGAAGGACGGCCCCCTGCCCCGCGCTGGTGACCCAGGGGGCCTCCTGTGAGGTCCCATCAGGGAGGGGAGGCAGCAGTGCCCTCCAGAGCCCTTTGCTCAGTCGGGGGAAGGACCACAAAGCTGGTTCTTTGCAGCGGCAGGAGTCCCTCGGCCCTGACTCTTCACTTGGGAAAGCCGGCTCTGCGTGCGAGTCGAGGTCCGTCTGCTGGTCAGGCTGCCGAGGGCGCAGGGAGGCCAGGCCCTGGGCTGCAGTGGGCGCAGCAGCAGTGGACGGGCAGGGGGGGCAAGGCCACCAGACCGAGTCCTCGGCTGGCTCCGGAGGCAGGCAGAGCCCCACAAGCTTCACCAGGAGCCTCTAGTAAGAACGACAGACGGGCCAGCGAGAGTCTGGCCAGACGGACTGCTTCCTGCTGGTCGAATAAGGAAGGGAACGAAAGGCGGGGAGGGGAGTGAGTGAGCCAGGGTGGCGTGAGCGACCAGAGGGGCACCGGGGGCCTCCAGCCACCAGCGAGGCGCTCCCCCTGCAGGAGCTGCGGAAGGTCAGCCCACTCACTAAGCCTGCGAGGAAGAGGCCTCTGACGATGGGTGTGAAGACAACCGAGGAGCACCTTGCTACGGGGCCCTCCGTGCGCGGATTCGACACGCGGGGCCAGAGGGAAGCCCGCGTGCGACCGGATGTGGGAGCGGTCACCACCCTCTACACGGTGGGTGGTTTTCTGTTTAAACACATGATTTCCTTTTAGTGTCTCTTTTTTTTTTTAACATTTTCTTCTCGCAAAAAAATGTTTACTTAAAAAAAAGGTATTTTTCTTTCCAGTTTCTTTCAAGTGTTTCTTTAAATTTCCTTCAGCTCCTTTCAAGTGTCTTTTTTTCCTTATGTTTCTCCGGAATAAGATGAAAGAGACCTCACTGAGACCCCAACAGCAGACAGGAGAGCTCTGTGCGCCCTGCTCTCCCAGGAGGAGGACAAGGCCTCTGCCCGGACGGAAGGAGGCGTCTCCACAGGCAGCGAGAACTCCGAGTGCCGTCCTCTCCCAGCCATACCCGCTTCCACGGCGTGGCCACTGCGGCTGCCCCTCAGACCGGCCGCTCCGTGGCCGGAGAACAGCAGGCGAGTGTCAGATGGAGCCTCCGGCCAGGCTGGCTCGGAGCTGGGCTTGGACGGGCCTGGGCGTGTGACCACAAGCAGCCGCTGGCACCAGCTGTGAGGCCCAGAGGCACCTGCCAGGCTGCGCGTCTTGGTGCCCTGGGCTCGGAGGAAGGACCGCGCACCCGGGAACCGCCCCTCGGCTCCCCTGCGCCTGCTGGTCCCCCTCTCCGGCGGGCTGCCCCTGGAAGGAAGTGCCCACGCTGGTACCTGACCCCGACCCCACCACGTCCCACCTGCGCCTTAGACAGCGAGGACAGGAATGCAGCCCACCCCGACCCCGCCCTCGTGGCATGCCATGGGGGCCGTGAAGGCCCAGCAGTCCGTCTCCGGGTCGTACATCTCCACGGAGCTGAGGTTCGACTGTCCGTCGTAGCCCCCGACGGCGTAGAGGCGCCCACAGCTGGCCACCAGGGAGACGCGGCTGCGGCGGGTGAGCATGGGGACCAGGAGGCACCACTGGTCGGCCGCGGCGCTGTACACCTCGGCGCTGCTGAGGAAGCCGGAGCCGTCGTAGCCGCCGCAGACGAACATCCTGCTCCCCAGGGAGGCGGCCCCGTGCCGGCAGCGCTTGTTGAGCATGCCCGCCGCTGGGTGCCAGGTGGCCGTGTGGTGGTTGTAGTGCTCCACCTGCAGCAGGGAGAGCCCGGCACAGGCGGTCAGCGAGGCCCACGTGGCGTCAGACTCGGGGACGGAGAGCCCTGCAGCGCGTGCCTGGCTCTGACGCCGTCTCCTCGGTGGCACCCCTGCCCCTGGGTTTACAGGGACAGGGCAGAGCCTAGGCCAGTGATGGCGAACCTATGGCACGCGTGTCAGAGGTGACACGCAAACTCATTTTTTTGGTTGATTTTTCTTTGTTAAATGGCATTTAAATATATAAAATAAATATCAAAAATATAAGTCTTTGTTTTACTATGGTTGCAAATATCAAAAAATTTCTATATGTGACACGGCACCAGAGTTAAGTTAGGGTTTTTCAAAATGCTGACACGCCGAGCTCAAAAGGTTCGCCATCACTGGTCTAGACAGACCTTCCGTCTGTATTTACGGCTGCTCTGCGGGGGAGTGACAGCGGATGTGGGGGCTCCCTGAACCCGGCCAGCACTGAGGGGCCCTCGGAACCAACCACCAGTGAACGGCTGCTGAGGTTTTATTTCCAACAAATTGGGCCAAAGCACACAGCTGCCTGCGAGGCCGCGCTGCCTGTAGCTGACCTGCTTGGGGCAGCGCTCTCACCAGTCGCATGCGGGTCTCCATGGAGACTGAAGGGGGGCGCACTCTGCCTCCCGTGGCCCGAAACCCCACTAGGCGACGCCTCTCCCAGCAGCGGGAAGGCTAGCGTGTTCCCAGGGAACTGCCTTTCCCAGTCGCTCTCAAGGATGGAGCAAGGGCCCAGCCCAGGAGCCCAGACTCACGCTGTTGAAGATCTGCAGACCGTCGTGGCCGCCGGACACGTATATCCTGCCCTCGAAGACCGTGACCCCGGCAGCACTGCGACTGGAGCTCATCGGGGTCACCACTGTCCACCTTCAGGAAGAGCCAAAGCAGGAGGGGTGCCGTGAGATCGGGGTCCCTGCCCCCAGGAGCCTTAGAAGGCTTGGGCTCTGCCTGTGCTCCCCCCACCCCGGCACCCACCTTCCCTGCGAGGCCGCCCCCAGCCTCAGGCCCGCAGCTGTCTCTGACCCTTGAGGCCCCGGACCAGCCTCCCCGGGGCGCTCCTCCCGGCATCCCAGGTCTTTCCCACGGGCGCCGCCCCCTAGTGGCTGTCCTGGTGAACAGCAGCTTTATGGCCTCTTCTCCCTCGTCAGCGTTCTCGTGGCAACCAATTCCCCGCTGGTTTGCTCCTGGGCTTGCTTGTCCCCACCCCCTGGATCTGGGTCCCCCCCTCCCCCAAATCACTGCAGCAGCCTCCTTTCAAGGCCCTGGCGCACAGGCCTCTCCCCCTGGGACCCTGAGCAGCACGCCCAGCGGCTCCCCCTGCTTCCTCGAGGCAGAGTCCACGCTGCCTGGTGTGGTTCCTCACCTCGTGGTCCTGGTCTCCTCGCCGCCTCCGTGCCCTGCCCCACGGGCAGGCTAACCCCTGAGACCCCTTCCTGCCACCTCCCTACCTCCCGAGCACCCCCAGATCCGCCATGGCTCGGCCCTGCCTCTCCCCCGCCTGAGGGGAGGAGGAAGGCCTTCCCCACTCTGGGCCCAGGACCGCAGCCAACGCCCCGAGTGGACGACTGTGGGCCCAGCAGACGGTGCAACCTAACAGGCTTAGATGCCCTGCTTGCTCCAACGTGTAATAAATTAAACGAATGAGGTACTGGCTTAAAACAGTGGTTCTCAACCTTCCTAACACCGCGACCCTTTCATACAGTTCCTCATGTTGTGGTGACCCCCAATTTCATTGTTACAAATTGAACATAATGAAAGCATAGTGATTAATCACAAAAACAATATGTAATTATAGATGTGTTTTCCGATGGTCTTAGGCGACTCCTGTGAAAGGGTCGTTCCACCCCCAGAGGGGTCGCGGCCCACAGGTTGAGAACCGCTGGCTTAAAAGCACCGACGAATCCATCTACTAACGAGCTGACATTGTTACACATCCTACTAACGAGCTGGTATTGTTACACATCCTACTAACGAGCTGACATTGTTACACATCCTACTAACGAGCTGACATTGTTACACATCCTACTAACGAGCTGACATTGTTACACATCCTACTAACGAGCTGACGTTGTTACACATCCTACTAACGAGCTGGTATTGTTACACATCCTACTAACGAGCTGACATTGTTACACATCCTACTAACGAGCTGACATTGTTACACATCCTACTAACGAGCTGACGTTGTTACACATCCTACTAACGAGCTGGTATTGTTACACATCCTACTAACGAGCTGATGTTGTTACACATCCTACTAACGAGCTGGTATTGTTACACATCCTACTAACGAGCTGACATTGTTACACATCCTACTAACGAGCTGACATTGTTACACATCCTACTAACGAGCTGACATTGTTACACATCCTACTAACGAGCTGAAAGTTGTTACACATCCTACTAACGAGCTGACATT